GGGTGTACTTCTTGTTCCATACAAGCCTTCCTCTGGCCTAAGCAGGGAGCACTTTAGGCAGAGACAGCTGTTGCACAGGTCAGATGAAGTTCTGGGAGACCTGTCACTCCATCCTAGGATTGGACAGAAGACTATAGAGTGGAGATGCTGCTATTAGGATCAGGCTTCCTAATACCACCTCCCAAGATTAGACCGTGGGACAGCCCACCCAGAGGAGAGTTGGGACAGCAGATCAGACAACCTAGGATTCATGTCGCTTGCCAGGGACTGAGTTGGAAAGAAAGACCTTGAATACAGTACTTAAATCAACTTTGCCCTGTTGAGAATGTGCACAAAATGAAGTCAGATTGCCCCTGGCTGGAAAGATAAATTACAGAGCATTAAGGAGGAAGTGATGAGCATGGGACACAGAAAAAAGTCAGAACTTGCTCCATTGGAGCTCGCTTCATGGAAACACTGGATGGGAGGGTTGATAAGATGCTGAACCCCAGTAGTGGCAACAGTGATATCAAAGAGGAAGATCTTACAGGAAAATAAGAAATTTCTACGACTCCTCATACTATGCTGAAGGGATTGTGAAATGGTACAGCTGTCTTGGAAAACAGTCTGTAAGTTCCTCAAAAAGTTAAACATAAAGTTACCATATGACTAGCAATTGTACCCCTAGGTATAGACCCAAGAGAAATAAAAACGTTGTTTAGTCGCAAAGTCATGTTCCACTCTTAAAGTCTTGTCCGTCTCTTTGCGGCCCCATGGACTGCAGGGTGCCAGGTTTCCCTGTCCTTCACTATCTCCTGGAGCTTGCTCAGACTTATGTCCATTGAGTCGGTGATGCTATCCAACCATCTCATCCTCTGTTGCCCACTTCTCCTCCTGCCCTTAATGTTTCCCAGCACCAGGGTCTTTTTCAATGAGTCAGCTCTTCATATCAGGTAGCCAAAGTATTGTAGCTTCAGCTTCGGCATCAGTCCTAATGAACATTCAGGGTTGATTTCCTTTAGGTTTGACTGCATTTGCCCTCATTGGAGTCCAAGGGACTCTCAAGAGTCTTCTCTAGCACCACAATTTGAAAGCATTAGTTCTTCCGCACTCAGCTTTCTTTATGGTCCAACTCTCACATCCTTGCATGACTATTGGAAAAACCATAGCTTTGACTATATGGACCTTTGTCAGCAAAGTGATGTCTCTGCTTTATAATTTGCTGTATAACTTTGTCATAACTTTCCTTCCAAGGAGCAAGCATCTTTTAATTTCATAGCTGCAGTTGCCATCCACAGTGATTTTGGAGCCCAGGAAAATAAAATCTGTCACTGCTTCCACTTTTTCCCTTCTATTTGCCATGAAGTGATGAGACCACATGCCATGATCTTCATTTTTTGAATGTTGAGTTTTAAACCAGCTTTTTCACTGTCTTCTTTCACCTTCATCGAGAGGCTTTTAGATCCTCTTTGCTTTCTGCCATTAGAGTGGTATCATCTGCGTATCTTGATTTCAGCTCGGAGTTCATCCAGCCCAGCATGATGTACTCTGCATATAGGTTAAGTAAGCAGGTGACATGTACAGCCTTGACACACTCCTTTCCCAATTTTGAACCAGTCCGTTGTTCCATGTCCAGACCTAACTTGCTTTTTGACCTGCATACAGGTTTCTCAGGAGGCATGTAAGGTGTTCTGGTATTCTCATCTCTTTAAGAATTTTCCAAAATTTGTTGTGATCCACACAGTTAAAGGCTTTGGCATAGTCAATAAAGAAGAAGTAGTATTTTTTCTGGAATTCTCTTGCTTTTCCTATGATCCAATGGACATTGGCAATTTGATCTCTGGTTCCTCTGCCTTTTCTAAATTCAGCTCAAACATCTGGAAATAAAAACATAGGTCTACAGAAAATTTTTTTCATGGATATTCACAGCAGCATTATTTATAATAACCAAAAGGTAGAAACAACCCAAATGTCTATTAGCTGATTAATGAATAAACAAAATGTAGCATATGGACACATGGAATATTTGGCAATAAAAGGGAGAGAAATGCAACCTGCAACATGAATGAACCTTGAAAGCATAAAGCTAAGTAAAAGAGGCCAGTCAAAAAGACCTCGTATAGTATGATTTCATTTACATGAAATGTCCAGATGGGCAGAGCCACAGGGACAGAGTCTGTTAATGGTTGCCTAGGGTGGTAGGGAATGGGGGTAATGGAGAATGACTGCCAAAAAGTGTGGGATGTCTCTTAGGGTGATGAAAACGTTCTAAAAATTTATTGTGATGGTTGCATAACTGTGACTATACTAAAAAACCACTGACTAAACTGTACTTTTTAAATTAGTACATTATATGGTATATGAATTAGATCACATAAAGCTACCACAAGAGAAATGTCCTGGGGCATTGGTTACTGGGTGGCAAGGAGTGCTGGAAAGTCACGAGCAAACACCTCATCTCCAAGGCTCTGAAATGGCTTGAGTCAAAGCTTCGATTTGTGAGGTGTTGGGGAGAGCAATGCATCCACAACCGCTCATCTTAGAAATCAGCTTGTGAAAGAAGGAGAGACCAGAAGAGCTGATGGAAGAGAAAGTTCGGACCAGCTACAGGGAGCTTTTCCAAGTTAGAGGGGCCTCCCCTCGATTCCCAGACTGATCCCCCAAGGTGTTACCAAGAATCCATGAGCAATTTTCATGATTTGAGAAAGACTGATGGAAACCTTCTGTGTCTGCGGAGAAAAGCTGCTCAGGCCATCTGTATTACTTCTTTACGTTGTAATTAATAAATAAGTAATCTTTATTACTCCTTTATGTTGACCTGGAAATCACTCTGTCAGGGTGTGATACCCTTGGTTTTTGTTGGGGGGGGTCACCTCTGATTTTGTGGCATATCTTTATCACAACGCATGAATCTGTGCTTAATAAACATGCATATAAATCTATATATGCGTTTCAGGAAACTGTTTCCCTACATGGGGTGCATGGGGGAATCATCAGAGGAGCTCCCTGGAGATGCAGAATTCAGGGACTGCTAGTAACAGGAGAGAACCAAGCCATGGATGGGAAGAAACTGTGATAGGGGACAAAAATAACGTCACTGCAGGGTGATGATGCAGAAGGGGCAGAAAGAGCCAGGGAAGAAGGACTGGAAAGGGAGGAATGTATACAAAACCTCAGGCTGTGGAGTAGAGGCCAGTAGGTGTGCCAGGAAAGCCTCAGAAACTCATGAAGCTCTTCCCATGGGCCAGACTCAGGGCTGGGCCCTGAGGGTCTTATTCAGTGGCCTCTTTTCATACTTTAAAAAAATTACTGCATGGGTTCTTCTTGTAAGTTACCTCAAATCCTTAATGGAATGAGACTAGGCACACATGTGTGCACACCTAAAATTTGAGGGTGATGTCATTGGCACCAATAATGCAATTGTTTTAACAAGACTTACCCAAGGTCGTCAGAACATCAAGTAGAGCATCCCAAGTAAATAGAGTGCAGACTTGGAAACAGGATTGGGAGGGTCATTTCTCACATCTCTGCCCTCCTACCCTCAGTCTCCAAGTAGCCCCGAGTCCTGCTACTTAGCGGCCTGCCCACTGCTCACTTTTCTAGTACAATGGTCTGTTCGTTGACTTTCCTGTCCAGTGGCCCAGATTCATCCTTACACGTGTGACTTCACCTTTCTCTGCTTCACTCTTATCTTTAAATGGAGATCACAATGGAACCTACCTCGCAAGGTTATTGTGAAGGTTAAATAAACGAATGTCTGGAGAGCGCTTGGCAGGAAATAAATCAGTGCCCAGGGAGGGTAACCTGTTATGACTATCCTCCAGAAAACTACCAGGGTTGTCATCACATCACAGCCTGGCTTACGTGAGAGGTAGTTTTCTATCGCCCTTTGAGAGCCTGGACTTCGAGCACAACGCACAAGGCTCTTGGTGATTCAGCTCGCTGCAGTCTGGAGACCTCCAGTCCCCTTTTCCCGCTCTCTATCTAGACTTCTGGGCTCCAACCACCGTGAGCTTCCCTTAGCGCCTGAAGGCACTGTAATGTTCGTTTCCCAACCTTCTTAGGAGCTCTCTTGACCCTTGTACACGCATCGGCCCTGTGTACACAGTGGCACTGTGCTGGGTTGCCTGTGTATCTGATTCCTCCTGTAGACAAAGGCCACATGACGGCCAGACTAGGATGTCAGTCTCCATCAATGACGTCCCAGAGCTCAGCATGGCTGCTGGCACCTGCAGGCTCTCAGTCCTTGTTTCTCAACTAGATGGACAGGGAAGGGGCTGGGAGGGAGGATGGGTAGGAGGGAGGGAGGGAAGACATGAAACAGCTGTGTTTCCAAAGTCCAGCCCTTTTGGCACTTTTCCAGGCTGCTCGAAACTCTCACGAGGGAGAGTGGGGCCTGGGACGCCGCCACTGCACCCTCAGACTGACGAGCCTTTTCTTTCCAAAAGAAATCTGAGATTTGTAACTTCCCGGCCTCAAGTCCAGAGAAGTCTGCAGTGCTTGTGGGTCAAGGAGCACACCCCTGAAAGAGACACCCCAGGCTCTCGGCACCTCACCCGCAACCCTTTCCACCTCCCCTCCCTCCCTGCATTCTGCTCCCCTTGCCACCCGCAGCCTTTGGGCATCTCCCGAAGACACACTGCTTCTTCCTGCCTGTGTGACTTCCGAGCCCCTCGCTTTCCGATGGACCTTTCCAGACCCGCCTCCGCTGTCTCTGCCGCCATGTTTTCCTGACTCCTCACCCCCAGGCAACAGTATCAACTCCTTTCCGCTGCAACTGTGCCTGGAGAGCTTCTGTTACAGCCCGCCTTCCAGCTGGGCTGTATTGTTCTGTGTTCCGCTTATCCGCCTGTTGGAATGTTAAGTGTCCAAATGCCGCCTACAGTGACTGCTTGTGAGCTATATACATTTAAGTAAGCTACTTATACCCACTAAGCCTCCCACGGGAAAATTTATAGGATTGTTTTGTAAAAATGGAGATGCTATCCCTACCTTACAAGTTTGGTGCCTGGCCTGCTGACCTAGCCCTGGAAACCAGCCCAGGGGAAAGCCAGACGATCAGGCCAAACTGTCCATGAATGTAGAGCAGGCAGGGAGTCCGGAGGAGCCCAAGGAGGCTCCGAGAGGGGGCTCCTTGGAAGAGAGGGAACCGGGAGGCCCAGGAGGGAAGTGCTCTGTTGAATTTGTGAGCAGTAGAAGAGGTGGCTGGCTCGAAGCCCGGCCTCGTCTGAGATCTGGACACGGCGTTGGCGCTGGCCTCTCCCGCCCCTCCTCCACAGTCCACAGCTGCCGACCGTGCCCGGCACATGGCTGGCACTGCCGCAGAGACCACAGCCGTGACCTGGGCTGCCGGGAGGCCTGGGGCCCGCTGGGCGGCACACGTGCAGCAGTTGTAAACTTTGTCCTTCTCTTCCCCATATTTTAGCCACTTCCCAAGTGGTGCTAGTGGTAAAGAATCCGCCTGCCAGTGCAGGTGATGTAAGAGACAGGGGTTCAATCCCTGGGTCAGGAAGATCCCCTGGAGGAGGAAATGGCAGCCCACTCCAGTATTCTTGCCTGGAGAATCCCATGGACAGAGGAGCCTGGCGGGCTACAGCCAATGGGTCGAAAGAGTCGGACACAACTGAGCGACTTCACCACCACCACCAGGTTCTGCGGGGGCTTGTCTGGTGCCTACCGAGGGGAGTGGCTAGAGGAAAGGAAGTCGCTCCCCACCTCTTGTAGCTGCCGGTGGAGACAGGATGAACCCCAGGCCGGGTTGGTGGCATTCCCCTCCAGCTGAAAGTGATTTAAGCTTGTTGGATTTATATAACACTGAGGAATGGTAAACTGTGTAAATTTGCTATGTTTTCCAGGGACAGTTATTTATGGAGGGGCATTTTTAACTCAAGTGCAGAAGTGTTAAATCATTATAATAAATCCATGCTATTCAGACTTTCTTACATTGTAATAAATTTTTTCTAAGCATGAATGAGAAGATCCATGCTTCCTCTAATATACCATTATGTATTTCTTCTCAAAATGACACAGCTTACTATATCAACTTGGAGAATAATAGATTTACTGACTTGGAGGAGGAAAAAAATGTTGAGTAGCAATGAGTCTGAGAAGGGGCTTGGGAGCGTGACCCCCAGGCTGAACTTCTCTCGCGCCTCTGCTGGCTTCTTCCCCAGCCACGTGCAACCACAGCAGGGGAGGACCTGGCCGGGGGCGCCTCCCCCGAGCTCCTGGCTGAACCTTTGAACAGAGAGATTCAGCCAGAAATCCAGTCTCCTTCTGTTCTGTCCTGTCCAAGGGGACTTGTGGGGATGAGGCTCTATGAGAAATGAAAGCTCTCTCCCTATGATGTGAAATCCCTTCCAGAAGCATCAGTCTGGCTAGAGAGCTCCCCTGCCCACAGTTCTCTCATCACCTGCCTCACCCCGCTCCTCACCTGGATACCTAACTGGACCAGAGGATTCACAGCTTTCATCAGATTCTCAAAGGACCCTAGAATCCAAAGAATTCAGGAATCACAGGTCTTCAGGAAACTCAGAAGCATCTTTGTCCACTAGGTACCAGACAAAGTCCAATGGCGTGGTCCTGGCAGCACCCGGGAACTATGTCAAGCTGCAGTTAACGCGCTCAGAGGTGGATGTAGGCCCACAGGCCTGAACGGCAGCCCCTGGGATGGGGAATTCCAACAGCATTTCCCAGAATATAAGATTTTACTGCCGAGCAAGGGCTGGAAGGAAGAAAGGAAGATGCCCTGGACCGAGGAAGAGTGTCAAAAGCATGGAGACAGAGACCCCCAAGGTAAGTGAGCTCATGGACAACCTTGGAGGCTAGTTGTGGTGGTTAAGCTTGGAGAGCAGCAGGGCCCAGTGGAGAGAGACCAGCTGAGATTCCAGTATGCAGCAAGAGCTTCCAGGTCTTAGCTGTGCCGCCAAAACTGTGTGACACATGCAGTTTTCTTCACCAGTGAAAACTCAGTTTCTGACTTGCGAGATGTAGACAGCGCACACCTGCACAGCCGGCTCACAGATGACGTGGGGATACAGCGAAAGAATGCTTGGGTATCTGCTGGGTGAACAACTGTGAGGCACTTCCTAAACATCAGGTGCTTTTATCATTTATCTGATGGCTGGTAAGGGGCGATGGGCCCTCTGAAGCGTGGAGACCTGGGGCTTTCATGACAACCAGGCAAAGCTAGCCCAGCCTGCTCCCTACCCGGCGCTTACCTGTGCCCGCCACCACCCCAGGCGGTGCTCCCAGCCCTCTTCTCAGCCTCTAGGAGGACAGCCCACTGCACACCTGCCCGTTTCAGAATGCTGTTTACCTCCATCTCTCTCCACAGCTTGGGCTGCCTTCCCCAGAGTTGGGACTGTGCTCTCATCACCATCTCATACCCTTGTGCAGAATCGGACCCTGGCCTTGAGGATGGTCCAGAGAAGACTGAGTCAAGAACGGTTCCGGAGTGGGGACCCTGTGGTCCATATACCTCCATCAGGGGCACCTGCGGGCTGCCCACAGCCCTTCCTTCTCCCCTCCCGTCTCCTCTCTCCACCTCTAGGATTTTCAAATCTATCCCTTCTCTCTTCAGAACTTAAGATGTGTTTCTTGCTTTGCTAATCAGGCTGTTCCTGAGGATGGGGGTGGGAATAGGCACCCCCAGGAGCCAGGACGGGGTAGCAGAAACCACGGTGGGCCCATCTCACCACCCATGACATGTGCTGCTCACATCCATGTTGGAGGGTCTGTCCTTTCAGATTCCCAGGGGAGTAAGGGTAAGTGGTAAGGGAGGGGGCACGGGGGGGTGGTTCCTGCAGCACCCAGTCTAGATGGCTGACAGCTCTCAGGCTGACCCAGCTGATGGTCAAACTGGCCACATTTTTTTTTTCAAACATTTTATTTTGAAGTCAGACCTACAGAAAAGTTTTAGAAATAATACAAAGAATTCCTGTACATGAACACCCTTCACCCATATTCCCCAGGGTTAACATTTTAACTCAGATTCACTCTATCTCACACATATATAATGCATATATCTCATACATGTATTATTACTTTTCTGAAATATTGGAGAGTAAATTGCAGACCGACTGCTCTTTCTTCCCCTAATAATTCAGCGTGTATTTCTTAAAAACAAGGACATTCTCTTCCATACCCACAGGACAATGATTGAAATCAAGAAATTAACATAAATAGAGCACTATTTTCTAATCTGCAGGCCAGATTTAAATTTTGCCAATTTTCCTTTTTTTTTTTTTTTAATTTTTTAAAGTTTCCTTTCCTCAAATATCTTTCTGACAAAAGGAAAATAAAATCTAGCCAGGATCCAGTCTATGATCATAAGTTGCATTTAGTTGTCATGTCTCTTTAGATGAGTACAAACTACTTATTTTGTAGGATGTCCCCAGTTTGGACTGGTTTGCTTTCTTGTGACCAAATTCAGGTCTGCATTTTCAGCAAGAATTAAATGATGTCATGTCATTCTCAGTAATCATACCGGGAGGCCCATGATAGCTATTTCATTCCAGGTGGTACTAACTTTGATCACCAGGTTAAGATGATGTCTGCTGGGTTTCTCCACTGTAAAGTCACTTCCTTTCCTGTGTAACTTATAAGTATCTTGTGTGTGAGTCAGGAAAGGCATTACCTGAGACTAAGTAAATACTATTTCTCATCTACCTTTGACCCAGGAGTTTCAGCAATCAATGGCCACATGCCACTTTTTTTTCCTTTGTTCCAAACTTGCTTTTTGTTTGTTTGTTTTTTAATTAATTTATTGTAATTGGAAGATAATTACTTTACAATATTGTGATGTTTTTCACCATACATCAACATTAATCGGCCATAGGTATGCCTATGTTCCCCCATCCTGAATCCCCCTCCCACCTCCCTCCCCACCCCATGCCTCTGGGTTGTCCCAGAGCACCAGCTTTGGGTGCCCTGCTTCATGCACTGAACTCGCAGCGGTCATCTATTTTACATATCGTAATGTATATATCTCAATGCTATTCTCTCAAATCATCCACGTTCGCCTTCTCCCACAGAATCCAAAAGTCTGTTTTATATATCTGTCTCCTTTGCTGCCCTGCATGTAGGACCATCGGTTTTGTCTTTCTAAATTACATATATGTGTGTTAACATACAATATATGTCTTTCTCTTTCTGACTTACTTCACTCTGTATAATAGGCTTCAGGTTCACTAGAACTGACTCAAATGTGTTCCTTTTTATAGCTGAGTAATATTCCATAGTGTATATGTACCACAACTTCCTTATCCATTCATCTGTCGATAGACAGCTAAGTTGCTTCCATATCCTAGCTATTGTAAACAGTGCTGCAATGAACATTGGGGTACATGTGTCTCTTTCAATTCTGGTTTCCTCAGAGCATATGCCCAGCAGTGGGATTGCTGGGTCGTATGGCAGTTCTAGTCCCAGTTTTTTAAGGAGTCTTCACACTGTTCTCCATAGTGGCTGTGCTAGTTTGCTTTCCCACCAACAGTGTAAGGTTCCCTTTTCTCTACACCCTCTCCAGCATTTATTATTGTTAGTAGACTTTTTGATGATGGCCATTCTGACTGGCGTGAAATGATACCTCATTGTGGTTTTGATTTGCATTTCTCTAATAATGAGTGACATTGAGCATCTTTTCATGTGTTTATTAGCCATCTGTATGTCTTCTTTGGAGAAAGGTCTGTTTAGGTCTTTTGCCCACTTTTGATTAGGTTGTTCATTTTTCTGGTATTGAGCTGCATGAGCTGCTTGTATATTTTGAAGATTAATTCTTTGTCAAACTTATTTTTAATGGAAAGAAAATTGATTCAGAATATTGTATTGGCCTCTGCCATACATCATCATGAGCCAGCCATAGGTATACATGTGTCCCCTCCCTCCATAACCTCCCTCTGACCCCATCCCACCACTCTCGGTTGTTACAGAGCCCCGGTTAGAGTTCCCTGAGTCATACAGAAATTTCCCATTGCTTATCTAGTTTACATATGGCAGGGTATGTGTTTCCATGTTACTATATCCATTCATCCCACCCTCTCCTTCCTCCCTGCCTCCCATGTCCATAAGTCTGTTCTCTGTGTCTGCATCTCCACTGTTGCCCTGTAAATATGTTCATCAATACTGTCTTTCTAGATTGCATATATATGCATTAATATATGATATTTGTTTTTTTCTGACTTACTTCACTCTGTATAATAGGCTCTAGGTTCATCCACCTCATTAGCATTGACTCAAATGCATTCCTTTTTATGGCTGAGTAATACTCTATTGTATATATGTATCATAGTTTCTTTATTCATTCATCTG